GATTTAGCCGTGCCTGAAGCCTAGGCTGCTATCATGACTGAAGACTCTTTATGCTCATAGTTGTTTCCAATCGATTCCAATCTTTATTCTAAGAGTAGCTAACCAGCTCATGGCCTACATTGTTAATGTGCAAACACAAGAAACTGTCAAGGGAAGCAAAAAATTGAATTACCAAAAATGTTGAAATATTCCCTTTGTTTAATAAGATGTGTAACTTAATTGAGAGAAGCTTTCCAATGAGTCAAACACAAAATGACATCTTCTCTTAACTTGTGCAATGAATCAACAGTTAATGTGAAAGAAAAAAAGGAAAAAACAAAGCTTGGTAAACAAAAAAAGCCATATTGTTTATGGCTCCCACAACAAATTAAAACAGTGCATGGCCTCTCAGTCAAACCCACACACACAATCACACAAATGCACCCCCATAACTCCAAGTCCTGCGTCAGCGCGCACTCTACAAAATGAATCATAAATAAATCTAGTTAGTGTTATTCCAGAAATGGAGGAGCAGAGTAAACATGCCCTTTCCGCAGAGAAATATTGAACTGAATAAGAATGATTGCCTATTCATTCTCATCAATGCCACATGAGGTAGGAACACATGGTGTATCATTTTCTTTGGCGATGTTCTGGTGTTTTTTCTGTGGCGCTGCCTTTCCAATGCCAAAGCTCTAATCCTCGCTTGGTTCAGAGGCTGCCTGTGTTGCTGCTGGTGTACTGTGTGCATCCTAATCTCTCCAAAGCTCTGTGTCTAATGGCTGCACTGCCTCTGTGAACACTTTGTACTTCCAGTTTAGCTTTAGCCTAAAAGGCATGGCAGAGGGGAAGGGGTTGTTGTTACACAAACAGATAGGAAGAACGAGGAAGGGAAATAAGAAAAGAAGGCATTAAAGGTCATATATTTGTGGAACGCATGCCTCTTTTACTCATCAAAAAACATTAATTTAGTTTTAACGCTGCGTCATAGAAGATCTGTCAATCAATGTAGTAATATTAGCAGGCTCCGATGTTGTGTTTTAAACTGTGATGGCAAGGCTACGGATTCATTTTAATGTGATGTTTGTTCTGTCTTTCTATACGACAATCATCTATAAATCACTATGCCTTAAGAATTTCAGAAATACTAAAAAATGCCACTCGCCAAACCAAAACACATACACTTTACAATCATATAAATCAGTGAAAATCCTTATATTTGTGGATTTCTGAAAGCAGCAAGTCTTGCACTGGTTTGTTGGATACATTTATTGTTTTGACCTTGCTATAGGAGACTTAATAAAATGTATATGGGCTACTTGATTCTACATGGGTTATCTCTAGTTTCCTGTTATGAGTGAGACAAATCACTTGTTATGTAACTCAATATCACTTTCTGGATTCCAGGAGTTCCTTGAAACAGTGTTATGATGGAATCACAGTGGCATAAGCATGATTTAAAAATTGAAAATGGAGATGATTCAAACAAGACTTGATGCTAGAGATTACAACTTAAATTCTTGAGATGCCTGTCTTCAGTCAGGCAGAGTTAATGTGTTAATGTACATATTGTTCCCGCACATGAAACATGAAAGGAGGACAGATCACAGGATCAGGGTGCGAGAGGATTACAAAGTGCCGCGCCTGCACCCAGGTGATCACGGTGATGGATGCGGTGAGACTTCCTCCCTGTTTCTCTCCCCAAATCTGTAACTGCTGCCAAGGCCGTCCCTGCTGTCCTCATCAAGCCCTCGCAGGTGTCCCGTCTGCTGCCCTCAGCCCTGTCCTTTCACCTTTAACCCCTCACACCTGGGTGACTCCTTTGCATACCCTCTCCGAACTCTGACCCCAGACTGTCCATCATCCTGGGGGTCACCTGGAAAAAGCATTAACCAAAATCAACTATGGTAATTCTGTGATGATGCTCTCTGCACAAAAATCTGAGAAAATACAACAAAAAAACAAACATGATACACCCCTTTTATGAGATTTAGAGTAATTTCATTCAATAATAACTTACTGTTTTGTACAATAGGCTTAATTTTTTTATATTAAAACAAGTTGTCACATATTATTCAATATACTACAGTTTATACGTCTGGTTATTTATACGTTGATTGATTTTGGGGGTCTTAAATAGAACGTTAAATGTGTATAATGTTTTTTGCTTGGGGAAATAGAGAAGAAAACATGCATGTATAAACACGTAAAGGCCAAAATCTGCTTTCGATTTACACTCATAAATACATTCATACTGTAAACATGTGTTTTTATCAGAACCAGATGTACTTACACTTTGCCATGTGCACATGAAACTATGCATATGAATGCATGAATACAGAGTGGTGTGTATGTCATGCATACCGTGAGTAACAGAATGGCGTATATTTATTACTGTGAGGTAAATAAGAGAAAGTAGCTGCCCACAGTTTTGCATGATCTTGCTTTTTTAAGTCCAGTGACCGAAAGCTGTGTTTTTATGTGGTGTGCACTAGCAGCCATATAAACCGGTTCAATGTCAATATAATAATGCTAAATGCAGCTTTCAAATCACATACATTTTTTGTTTTTATTTTGATACCAGTGGGATTGCCAAAGTCCAAAATTACAGATCACTATATCATTAGAAAGTTCTTGCAAATGTCCTTTTTATCTATGAATAATATCAAGTAGGGTTTGTTTACAAGAAGATAAGATGATTAAAATACGGAAGGTGTAATATATACATAGTCATATTCATCTCTTTTTTTCTAAATCATGTCATTCATTTCCACATCTATTTCTTGGCAAGTAAAACCAAGTTTGACATTTGACAGAAAAAAGTAGAACACCAAAAGAGCAAAAATGCACTTGTACAACCTCAAGCAGACCTTTGACAATTCAGACCAAATGAAGCCATTATTGGCAGTTACTAAATCCAAAATGATTGTCAGCTATTATTGAATTAAGTTTAATTTTACTTTCCAGTGCACTGGTGGTCTTTTCATCTCTGTGGGCGGGAGAACATGCATCTGAATTGTCATGAAATCCCCCCACATGTCACTATTACATAAGAAAAAGTACATTTTAATAAGAGCAGAAGGGCTGCCTGTATGGCCTGTGTGATTGACCACCTACATTGTTCCGGGAATCCAGGGGACTCACTCCAACCTCATCATTTATGACGGATATGTTATATCTTTTGAGCAGGTGGGGGTGGGGAAGAGGCTTTACATTAATGACATCTGATCTATTTGTGCGGCTTCCCTTTTCAAGTTGAGGAATCAAAGACCACCAATGTGTTACACCTCTAATGTGGTCAAAGGAGGAGGAGGAGGAGGAGGAGGAGGAGGAGGAGGAGGAGGAGGAGGAGGAGGAGGAGGAGGATCTGCAGATCTGGCGCAGACGCACTTGAAATCTTGATCCGCTTCCACCGAGTCCATGCTGGCAGATGGAGGTTTCGCAGCACAGCTCTCAGATCAGCCCCTGCACTTGCCACACACTGCGCTAGCACCGACACCGTTTATCATTCTGTTTTACTGTTGACGGCCACTTTCTTTTTTTTCTCCATTTCCCTTCCTTTTTGGCAGCAGGATTAAGTTTAATTGTATCGTTTATGACAGATACGGAGTGAGGTTTGGCACTAATTCAAGACAGACCGTGCAGAGCCATTTTATGGTTTCTTTCCACCTCACTTGCTGATGTGTGGTGGTGACACATTTGACAAAAAAAACTCCAAGATGGAGGGCTGGGTGGAGGGCTGTCGAGAAAGAGATTAAAAACGAATTGAGACAAAACTTTTATACACACCAATTTACAATTTTCAGTCACCCTTAACCACACCTTCTTTCCTGCAATTCAGCACCTCATACAATCTCATTCCTCTACAAGTATTATGGGTTGAATATAAAAACGTTGTGGTTTGCAGTTAAATCGTTTCTACGCCGTGGTCTCCTTTGCGGAGGTGGCCCCCCCCCCCGGGGCCAACGACCCACATTAATCTCATAATTAGCTGAATGGGATTGGAGGAACCTGCCAAATATGTGCTATTTGTTGTTTAGAGGTCAGACAAATTGAGGTGTCAATTGAAAACAGAAAAGTCTGGTTTGCTGTAAACTGACTGAAGGAGCAGGATAATGTTGGCCTGGTGCAGATAGGCATAATCAGTTTGGTGTGGGCCCTCGGGGGGGCTGGTTAACACGTGACTTTATAAGTATTCAACAGCTGATGTTCATTCATCAGACAGATGTAGTGTTAAGTCAAGCTGTGTGTGTGTGTGTGTGGTGTGTGTGTGTGTGTGTGTGTGTGTGTGTGTGTGTGTGTGTGTGTGTGTGTGTGTGTGTGATTTTGCAGACCACCAGGCATTCAGACATGTACTCCGCCTTTGAGCTTAATACAACTGATTGCACTCTGATCAGTGCTGGTAATAGTTAAAGCTTCAAAGGCTCTGAGGCTGCGGCTGTTAGACTTAGATGGTAGTCCCAGCTATCGGAAAACATGTATTCTTCATCTCTGTTATTTCATTTTATAATGTCATACTGTACGTTTATCTACAATCAAAGAAGACTGAAGAGAAATGCAGATTCTAAGAATTGTTGCTTTCCCTAACACCTTTAAGACTTATTGTCCCTGTTGGTTCAAGGGGAAGTTAACTTATTATCACTCAATGAATTATTTCACACTCATGACTGATGACTTAAAAGCCAAGTGTACGGAATGAAAGAAGTCTTAAAAGTACTCAGGATTATGATACCTGTGGATCTGATAATGAAGACGTGTGGTACATCCCAAAACAAATGAATATTGAATGGATAGAGTTTTGTCAACAAATGTACTTTTCAGTTCTTTGCATTCCTGAATCTCAATTATCCTCTGTGATCCTCTTCTTGTTTTTCTCCATTGCTGTCTTCATCTGTCCCCCCCTCTGCACACAGGTGAGCTGTCACACTGGACCCTAGAATTACACCGTGTGACCCCCCCTCCACTCCTTGAACAAACACTCACACACACACACTTAAACGCCCTTTGGCACGGAGGAAACCTCTACAATTGCCTTTCAAACAAACACACATCACACGTTGGAGAGGGTTTCCGAGGATAGATGTAGCCAACATGAACTTAAATGGTCTGTATAGAAACTGTGGTGGAAGAAAATGATGGAAATAAGCCGGAGGGTCTTTGTGGTGATGCTGCATTTTATTGGGCTCTCTGTGGCTCGTCATCATAACAGGTAAGATTTGATTTTGTTATCTAATTTGTTGTTCTTGTAAATAGTTATTTAACTTTAAAGCATCATTTCCCTAAGAGCAGTCAGATGCTCGACTCTTAAGACAGCAAGAATCTGTGCAATTTAGTCAACTTCTTCAAAAAAGAAGGGGTCTTTGTCTCTTTCACACTGATTGTGGGGGGGGCTCTTCCAGTACAGTGTGAGTGAGCATATGAAATGAACCTACTTGGCCTGTGTCTAACCATTTAAAAGCCTCTTAGGGTGTGAGGAGATTTAACAGCGGCTATGAGTGAAGCTCGTTTAGTGGCCATGTAGTTTATTGCGCTTTTGTTTATGACAGCAGATTTTAATGAGGGAGAAATTATTAGTGCATGAAAGTTCTTTTTCTGGTGAATGCTTGGGAATGAGGAAGGTGTTTCATAATATACAGCTGCAGTCAATCTGTTCAAAGGAAAAGGAAAACTACAAAACGGTTGAGATATTTATTGGAAAAAGAAGATTGTAAATGAGTGACATTTTAAACTTGTTTTAGTTACCTTTACATTTGTGTCTTTCTATTTATTAAAACGGTTTGTGTCTGGATTTGATTATTGTTGACATGACACTGCTATGTTATGTTTTGCATATCTTGCAATAAACCGCTTTTCTACCGCTCTTGATTTTTTATTTCGTTATTTAGTATTTCTTGTGTATCTTTACTCGTTCTTCCTTTGGGGGATTATTTGTTGATCTTTCACCTATGATACTCTTTCTTTCTGGCATGAGGCATGAGGGTCAATGTAAGTAAGACAGTTAGTTTAAACCTTTGTGAACGGTGTAACTCATTCTCACTCATTTTTTAATTTATATTATAAACATACCAATAGTCTTAAAATGTCTTTAAGTCGTCCAATTGTATTCCCTATCATATCATTTGCTGTCCGATACTGTCAGCAGTTTCCAAATTGTTTGCAGTATAATTAAAGGCTGCTGTCTTCAACTACATTTATTCAAAGTGTATTAGTTTGTCTGCATACTCACATGCATAGTGCAATAGATCTGTGTTAAATAAGTAAGCACTTCTTATTTTTATCTGTGTTGTCAAGTCAAATATCAAATATTTTAAGATGTTTTCAGGTTGTTTTTGTGATGCTTTTGTGTGTACAGCAACAGCTGTTAGCACTGTGCCCAATGCAGATTTCCACCAGGGGACAATAAAGTTGACTCTATCTTTCTAAAGTGGGGGCAGACGAATAGCCTCCCTCTGTGCTTTTCTAATCCTGAAGTGTTCACCTTCTTTCAGGGCATCAGTCTGTGTGGGTGCTGTGCTGAAACTGAAGCCCTGAAGGCTTGACGATGCTTAATGATCTGATAACCTTTTGTCCCAGCCTCCACAGGTCAGGGGAGGATGCGCTGGAGCACACTGGGGGTCGAGCGCTGCCAGGACTCTGCAGCTATGGTCAGACTACTTCCTGTTGTTTGGGATGGAGGAATGTTAACGGCATTTGTGAGCGTAAGTCATTCTGCAATTCAGTGACAGCACAAGTACAATGACATATTACCCAAAGTTCACAGGTTATCAGTGCGGCATCTCTGAGAAAAAGAAAAACTAGAAAATAGTGTCATGGAGTTCTTTTTACATTTTTCTCATATTTTACCTGTTTCTACTTAAAAAGTGTATCCTCAGTTGTGGAAAGAAAAGTTGTAAATGTACCCACATGTTTCACTTACACACAGTTTTGAGGTGCTTTTTGAGGTTTGCTACATTACTCATTTGCCATATTTCAGAAGGCTTTAGTACGGTGGCCCTGAAGTGCAAGACACCACAGCATTTCAGAAAACACTACAGCATTTCAGAAAACACTACAGCATTTCACAAAACACCACAGCATTTCACAAAACGCTACAGCATTTCACAAAACACTACAGCATTTCAGAAAACGCTACAGCATTTCACAAAACACTACAGCATTTTCAGAAAACGCCGAAGTATTTCAGAAAACGCCACAGCATTTCAGAAAACACAACATCATTTCAGAAAACACCACAGCATTTCACATTGGACGGAAAGGGTATTCCTTTAGGGAGAACACTTCTTGTTTGTGATTGGACAGAGCCAGCCAGAGAAGCACTGCTGTGATTGGTTGTTTTTGCTGCCAGTCAAGAAATGACGCTTCGTGATTGGTCAACACCCGACAGCGAAATATGTCCCAACACATCAGCCGTTAGCACACACTCAGAGCTCACAGCTCCTCATATCTGTCCAGAAACTGAACAAAAGTTAAACATGTACAAACCACAGACTGTCTGTGTCATGGTGAATACAGTCGCTGCTTTATTTATGTCTGTATGACGTTGTTGTGAGTGTGGACGGAGCAGCAACAGGTTAGTTTAGCCTGATGGATCCGATTCCATTCAGAAAACACGCATTTTAAAAGCTTTTTGTCTGGCGTCTTGTTTGCAGACTTGTTAAAGCGTTAATTCATGGTTTTTACTAACCGTTATCAGTATGTAGTTGCTTCGGCATCACTTTGAAACGTGTATTACAATTAAATTACGGTCAAATATGTTCATTTTGTTGTAGTTGGTATCTCCCATATAATTTACATGGAGATACGCGCCGCCCCCTCTCCAGCGCGTCTTGTTTGAATGACAGGAGCAAAGACAGCTGACAGCCTCGGTGAAACTCGAGCGATTAGAGCGATGTGAATATTGGGTGGTCTACCATAGTATTTACATGGAGATAAGCCCCTTAAAAACCATGAATGAATAAAGCATTAATTCTGTGTTTACTCCTGTCATTCAAACAAGACGTTGGAGAGGGGGCGGGCCGTATCTCCATGCAAATCCTATCGGAATCGGATCGATCAGGCTAAACTAACCTGTAGCTGCTCCGTCCACACTCACAACAACGTCATACAGACATAAATAAAGCAGCGACTGTATTCGCCATGACATAGACAGTCTGTGTTTTGTATATGTTTAACTTTTGTCCAGTTTCTGAACAGATATGAGGAGCTGTGAGCTCTGAGTGTGTGCTAATAGCTAACGGCTGATGTGTTGGGCCAATCACGAAGCGTCATTTCTTGACTGGCAGAAAAAACAACCAATCACAGCAGTGACAGCACAAGTACAATGACATATTACCCAAAGTTCACAGGTTATCAGTGCGGCATCTCTGAGAAAAAGAAAAACTAGAAAATAGTGTCATGGAGTTCTTTTTACATTTTTCTCATATTTTACCTGTTTCTACTTAAAAAGTGTATCCTCAGTTGTGGAAAGAAAAGTTGTAAATGTACCCACATGTTTCACTTGCACACAGTTTTGAGGTGCTTTTTGAGGTTTGCTACATTACTCATTTGCCATATTTCAGAAGGCTTTAGTACGGTGGCCCTGAAGTGCAAGACACCACAGCATTTCAGAAAACACTACAGCATTTCACAAAACACTACAGCATTTCACAAAACACCACAGCATTTCACAAAACACTACAGCATTTCACAAAACACCACAGCATTTCACAAAACACTACAGCATTTCACAAAACACCACGGCTGGCAGCCATGGCTGGCTCTGTCCAATCACAAACAAGAAGTGTTCTCCCTAAGGAATACCCTTTCCGTCCAATGTGAAATGTTGTGGTGTTTTCTGAAATGCTGTGGTGTTTTGTGAAATGCTGCGGCATTTTGTGAAATGCTGCAGCGTTTTGTGAAATGCTGTAGTGTTTTGTGAAATGCTGTTGTGTTTTCTGAAATGCTGTTGTGTTTTCTGAAATGCTGTGGCGTTTTGTGAAATGCTGTTGTGTTTGTGAAATGCTGTTGTGTTTTGTGAAATGCTGTTGTGTTTTCTGAAATGCTGTGGTGTCTTGCACTTCAGGGCCACCGTACTTTAGTGTCTTTATTCTATTAAATGTGTGTTATTTAAAGGTGGGATAGGTTCGTTTGAGAAACCGGCTCGAGATACACTTTTTGTTATATTCCATGGAATGCTCTTAACATCCCAATAGCAATGAATATCTTAAGTGCTTTGACAAAAAATCCATACAAAAATATCATCTGTGGAAGCCGTAATACTGTAAAAAGCTACTGTAAAAGCCGGGCCGTTTAGCTGGCCCGGCTAAACGGATTGACGGCCTGTCTGTCAGCCTTCCATCTCGTGCACGCACAAATGTATCTCGTGCCCTCAATAGCCGCATTCACACCGCAGGACTTTCCCTGGTACTTTGGTTCTTTAGTTCCGTTAGTACCAATAATGTCACGTTCACACCGCCGGGACTACTCAGTGCCGGGAACTCTTTGGCCATTTTCAGTCCCTGATAGAGAGGTGGTACGAACCTGGTGATAAAAGAGTGCCAATTTATATTCTATTTCTATTGGCTGGGCGAATTGCAAACCACGCCCCGTTAGACTCTGAATTTTTTTCGTTAAGCAGCCATTTTTTTCCTCGCTACAAAACCACATCCACACCTGAGCGAGTAGTTTTTTGTACTTTAAAGCAGTTATGACCACACGTACTACAACACCGGAGCGGTGGAATGATGAGGAAGTGTCGGCGCTTCTGGCAATTTACTCCGAGGACGGGATGCAGCAGCTTCTACAGAAAGCAGTTCCCAACTCCAAATGTTTTGAGCGATGTTCGCAAAAGCTACTTGAGCTGGGAATCGTGCACAGTGCACACGGATGCCGGGTAAAAATAAAGAAACTCAGGCAGGACTATCAAAAAATTAAAGACCACAATAATAAGAGTGGTAACGATTTTCTATTGTTATTATATATATATATTGCCACTGTTTTTTAATACTGACACCTAACTTGCACTACGGTGTGTCTGCTGCTATATATATTGCCACTGTTACATTGTTTTGAAACTAGGCCTACTTACACTTTATTTTACATTTCACACTTTTATTTAACTTCAATTTACATGCATACGACACACCTGGAACAGCGTGATGCCGTTATTGTTATGTCTTGACTGTGCAATAAAACAAACAAACTGGCGAAGCTTTATTTATTGTGTCCCACCCCAAATTTGCAGAATAGAAGAATGTGAGAGCAGACAGGTGTCGGTGGTTGAATGTATCTACAATGTCGCAACCTTGTGCAGCAATGGCAGGGGCAGAAACACAAGTCTTACACACATAAACACAAGTAATTTATCATGTCATTTGTTTTAGATAAATAAGGGAAAAACACCAAACAAGGGTTAATGTCCTTTTCCAAAATCAGCCTGAGGGGGTAATATATAATAAATACATAAAGATAAAGTCCATTGTTATAATGGGGTATTTTATTTGTAAATTACCCTTATGAACTCCATCATGTCTGAGGTCGGAAAGTAAACAAACGCCTCATACAGCGGGTGGGCTTTATACCCCCTCCCCCGTGTAGTTCTTCTTCTCTCGTTTTTTTTTGTACTCGCCGTGAAGTGGTTTTGCGGCCTGCCAGTAAACCCAGAGAAGAAGAAGACAAAGTGACGTCAGCGTAATCTTGCCTCAGGGAAAGTACTGCGGTGTGAATGCGATTGGCACTAGCCCCCTGGCGGATTCAGTGCCGTGGTACTTTAGTGCCGGCACTAAAGTACGGCAAGTCCTGCGGTGTGAAAGTGGCTAATTGCCGTAATTGGGCGTTCATGTGTGTTGGAGGAGGTGCTCTGTAAGGAAGTCCGCTCCTCCGCTCCCTTCACTGGCTTCCGGTAACTGCTAGAATCCACTTCAAGACACTGGTACTTGCATACCATGCTGCGAATGGATCTGGCCCTTCCTACATCCAGGACATGGTTCAACTGTACACCCCAGCGCGTGCACTACGCTCTGCATCAGCCAAACGACTCGCTGCACCCTCGCTGCGAGGGGGACCCAAGTTCCCATCCGCAAAAACACGTGGGTTTGCTATCCTGGCTCCAAAATGGTGGAATGAGCTCCCCATTGACATCAGGACAGCAGAAAGCCTGCACATCTTCCGGCGCAGACTGAAAACTCATCTCTTTCGACTCCACCTCGAGCGATAGAATTACTAACAAAGAACTGCTAACAGAGCACTTATATACTAATAAAGGACTGGCTTATCTATAGCCAGTTGAGTAGCACTTGAAATGTTTGGCTCTATGAAACCTGATGTACTTATATGATTCTGTTTTCTTCAAGGTTGTGTCTTCCTGGTCGAATGTACTTATTGTAAGTCGCTTTGGATAAAAGCGTCAGCTAAATGCAATGTAATGTAAAAGGGGCGGATTCTTTTCGGCTGTGTACTTTCAAATTTTAGTGCACTCGAGCCGGTTTCTGAAACTATACCTACCTTTAAAGGTGGGGTAGGTAATTTCAGAGAAACCAGGGGCCCATTCCAATAGTCCATTTAGCTTAGGAACCTTCCTAACCAAGTGAAATGACCCGGAAGTACGTCACTGGCAGCCATGATAAGTGCCGTTCCAATTCTCCAAATGAAAGGAAAGGAGGTTTCAAACTTCCTTTATAACCTCCTTTAGCTTAGGAACCACTGGACCTCCCTAACCGAAAGGAGAGGAGAAAATGCTGCCCCACAATGCATTGCAGCCGCAGCATTTGCCGTCACTCGGCCGTTCACGGAAACAACCGATTATGACCGAGAAATGATATCATGAAAGTTACGGTGCTTAAGCATTTTAAAACGTATGTGGTAAGTTGCCAAAGTGCTTTTTTCTGAACGTTCATCAGTATTATAATCAAAAAGAGAAATATGAACGTTAGTTTTTACTGAAATGATCAAATAAAGTCAACATTTCAGTCTTTACTGAGCTGTGTGGAGTTTGTTCAACTTTTAAAAGATGTTTGAATGGTGATATACACAGTGATAGATGTTAAGGACTAACGTTTATAATAAATACATTTGTATTGATTTTAAGATATGTTCATAGTTCATACAATCATACGTATTGGGATCATTTGTATTAATGTGGACCGGAGGGAGAGGGTGACGATCATAAGTTTCACTTTCCTTTTTTATTTCAATTCCAACTTTGGTCATGAAGAATATGTTTCTCTGTTGTCCACGTTCATAAAGCATAAAACAACAGCATCAGAGCACGGTGCAGAGTCTCTAGATGAGTTTACAGTAGTCCCTCGTTCTTATTGAACATCCATGTTGTAGTCCGCTGTATAGAAAACTGTAGTTTCCATAGTTTCCCCCACAGCAGCAGACGCACATTCATGACGTCCGCTGGCGCATCATAAACACGTCGGATAGTGAAAGTGCATTCGGATTCTCTAAAGTACCGCGGTCTCTTCTCCTAAATCCTTTTGAATTCTCCTATCCACTATCCCTTAACCCCGTGACGTTTCACTCAGAGGTCAAGGAATAGGAGATAGGGTTAGAATTTAGAAGCTGATTTTTGGATTATCGGAACGCAACCCAGCTCGAGTGCGTTAGAATTTGAAAATACACAACCGGAAAAAATCTGCCACTTCCTTACAGAGCCCCTCCTCCAACACACACGAACGCGCACATGACCAATGAGGGCACGAGATAAGTTTGTGCACAGAAAGGCTGACAGGCAGGTAGGCCATCCAGTTATTTTAGCCGGGCCGGCTAATATGATTGGTCGTGCTTTTTGCAGTACTACGGCTTCCACAGATGACATTTTGTTATGGATTTTTTTGTCAAAGCACTTAAGATATTCATTGCTATCTGGATGTTAAGAGCATTCCATGGAATATAACAAAAAGTGTATCTCGAGCCGGTTTCTCAAACTTACCTACCCCACCTTTAAGTAACTAGTTTTATTTGTGGATGAGGATGATCCATGAGCTTGTAAAAAACAACATAGAAATAACATGACCTTGTGAAAAGTAGTTACAAAATATCTTCAACAGCCAGAGTAGGTAGAGTTACATGGCCAGGTGTCATGAAACATGAATGACAGTAAATGCTGATGTTGCTCCATATCTGCCTAATGTATTAATAGGAAACTGCTTTCTAACAATATCACCACATCAAATTTAAAACATGACACATTTAAATGTTGTGTTTACAACTTTTTCTCTTACTTACAAGTGAAATAAATGAATGCTCCTCTAATTTACACATTGTATACTTTTACTTTAATGATGGATCTTATCCTACACCGCGTACAGCAGGGCTATTCAATTAGTTTGGAACGGGGTCCGGTTGATGAAAATGATCCAAAGCAAGGGGCCGGGAAAAAGATGACTTGAAATATTAGCAATCATATTTAGAGCTTCAGATACAGTAAATACTACAACAGCATAGTGGAGTGCATATATTGTGTTTAATTAAATCAAACAACATAGCCCCAAGGCCTTTATAGATTTAAATGGCAAGTTCAGAACTCAGTAGGCCTACATGTGAAGCTAATTTAACCATCAACATAATTTAATTCGATTTAATTTAGGTGAAATTATCTAATCATTCATACAAAGATGCAATAAATGACAGTTTGTCACTACAGTAGGTGGGTTCGAAACCCGAGCCCGCCGAAGTTTTCAAGCAATGACTTCCCCTCTATCTCTCAATGTAACACCCTCTCTGGAATAAAGGCACTCTGGCCCAAATTTAAAAAGTAGATTACTTTTTAACATTATACTCAAAGGGCCAGTAAATATCACCCCGGGGCCGGATTTGGCCCACGGGCCGCCAATTGAATAGCCCTGATGTACAGCATTGATGTAAGCATGGTTTATGTTGTGTCTGTTCTCCTCCACAGCTGTGTGCAAGAAGTCCTGTGTAAATGGAAAGTGTGTGAGACCAGACAAGTGTTTATGCTCCACAGGATATAAAGGGCCTCAGTGTGATGAAGGTAGACTATAACACAAAAAATCATTGTCAGTCTTATGTTTCTAATTTCTTAACCCATTCTCATGCATCGTTTACCGCAAGGGTTTCTATCTGCTGCTCGAATAATGTTTCATATTGACTCCAGATGTGAATGAGTGCGGTTTCCTGGAGAGGCCGTGTTCCCAGCGCTGCATGAATACACACGGTAGCTATCGCTGTTACTGTGACCCTGGGTACACACTCAGCGCAGATGGATACACCTGCACCAGTGAGTCATTTTCCTGTTCAAAAGATCATTTAAAACGTAATCTAAAAGCCCAAATGATAAAATGTCTAAACTGTCAGGTCATATTTCTGATCAGTTTTACACAAAAACCTGTGTGCCATCTTTATACCATAATAGGAGGTTAATGTATCTGAAGAGTTGGTACTCCGTTTACACACCTTTTTAGGCTAACATAAATGTTTATGACAGAAATTCACGGTTTATATTGTAGAAAGTGATATCATAACAAATGTAGGTGGTGATAGGGATTTAAAAGGCACCAAATGTAAATAATTGATTTATGTGAGATACAGATTCTTGTTTTTAAGTAGTGTTAAGTGTTCATTTCATGTGTTTGTGTGTGTGTGTGTGTGTGTGTGTGTGTGTGTGTGTGTGTGTGTGTGTGTGTGTGTGTGTGTGTGTGTGTGTGTAAGCTGTGATCCACTTGCCTTTTTCTGTGACCGATCCTCAGCCAGTGTTTCCCTGTCTGTCTTCCAGGAGAGGCTGCCTGTTTCTCCCTGCGTTGCCAGTTTGGTTGCCAGATGGAGGGAGGGGGAGCGGTGCGCTGCCTGTGTCCCCCCGGCCTCCACCTGGCCGCTGACAACAAGACCTGTGAAGGTAATACTCCTTCAGAAAGCCCCCTAGCTTATCACTACACCTCACTTGTTTAATGTTTTCAGTATCATGTTAGCATGATAGTAAGCCTGAACTGCTGTTTCAATTCACTTTGGTTCCTTCAAACCGGCCTCATTATTCAGTCTCACATCGTGTCTGGCTGTTTCAAGCTCTTACTAATAGTGTATCTGTGTACATCAATTTCAGCTTGAAGGGAAAAACCTACGGAGAATTATAACCCCTTAGCTCGAGGCGGTATTTAGCATCTTTCAGCTTATTGTTTTGTTTTCATCCATAAACCTTACTATGTTGGTTGTTTCTCACCACTGTTATTAAACCTATTTCCCTGTTTTCAAGCGATAATCTTTAAATAATTAATGTACACTATCGCCCAGACTGAAAATCTTAGTTAAATGCTGGTAAAATATCGTAGGCAGCACATTTAGCAGCTAAATAGTCAGGATTGTGGAGTGGTGACAAAACAGAGCTAAAAGGAGAGCAAATATTGGACTTACATGATGAGATGGACCCGATTCTAAATGAATGTTACTCACAGCTATAGCACTTTGTTGTGGACTCCAGTGATGGGCAATGACACAGGGCAAAGTGCATCGGCAGGCAGGCAGCTCGTCCACATACAATTTATTTATTATCGTCGGAATGTAAAACATTTTTTCCACAAATATAATAATAATAATAATGCATTACATTTTTTTATTAGAGCGCTTTTACAGGTGCTCAAAGTGCTTTACAAGTACACATTACACATATTAGACATGTATGTATGTACCCACAGGAGCAAATGCGGGTAAAGTGTCTTGCACAATGGCCTGACGCAGTGGCAGCCGAGGCGGGATTCAAACTGGAGTTCACCAACGCCCCTTGATCTGATGACCAACGCTCTAACCACTGCGCCAAAACCGCCCCCAAATATAACACTTTTATTTTTTTAAATAGCTTAATTTACCCAATTCAGCTTTAAGTTCCTGGGTTCCTGAATGGTTCCCGCTCCCCTTGGAAAGTTCCTGTGTTCATACAGTCACACACTGCAGCAACACATATGTTGACGTATCGCCTTGCCTTGCCAGATCATTTCTATTTGGATTTACGTCTAGTGCAGGTGATGCACACGGCTTCCAATGCACATTATGTTTACTACCTGCTGCGAACTTACCATTAGCGCCTCTCAACTGGGTCTGTTTACCCAATGGTAAAAGCCTTTAATTACCTGATGTAGAAAAACATACCCTGGACTCTCTCCTCAGTGTCCCAATGCTTTATGACTTCAGTCCTCAGCAACAGACACCTCCTGTCCTGTAATGAAGCAAGCCTTCAGCAGCCTCTCACGGCTGTTAAGGCTTGTTCACACTGTGGGAGAGTTTTTGGTGGGAAAAATTCAATGTTCAAACAGAGGGAAATCATAGCTTTGGTGTCACTGATGCACAAATGTGTTTGAAGTAGTGTTTGACAAGTATATGTACTATACATGGAGTAGTAAGGTTTGTATTTACAGTATGGTGTCTGACATTTATTCTCAAACTTAAAATAATGATTACATGAGGTAAGGATGGAAAAAGTATGATACACTCACTTGCCAGATTATAAATTAAACCTAGGCATTTTCTGTCAATTGTATGTCTATAAACTGTTATCATTTCTGCACCTTCCCATATAGGAAGTAAATAGACTATCCTGCTAAATTAAGTCTACAAAAAACATTAAATAAGATAGATTTGACTCTAGGAAATAAGAAAAACATTTTTTTGTGTGTCATAATTGTACAACCTTCCAGAAGACACCTTAAAAGACTTCCTTCTGCACACCTGAAGTGAAACATGTGTGTATTTGGGTCATTCCTTGTTTTTAAACATCAGAGCCCCTTTCAAAGCTTCAGTGCAAAGAGGTGGTTGCAAGGTCAAGGTACTGATTTGAGCCTTTCGTGTCTTTTTGAAGGTAATTATTGTTTTGAGCAAAGACAAGAAACATTCAAGCAGTGGACTACAACGCCAAAAATGTGGCCTGTTGTGCAATGAAATGTTCCAAATGCGTTGCTGGTGTTTGACATGTGTTTGTGTTGCAGATGTCGATGAGTGTCTGCGAGATGCTCACGTGTGTCGAGCACGACAGACCTGCAAGAACACCTTCGGCAGCTTCGTCTGCGTGTGCCAGGATGGCTTTGTGATGGGGACGCTCCAGGGCTCTGTGCAATGTCGAGGTGTGGTCTTTATTTGTTAGCAAACAAAGTTAATGCTAATAATGAATATTGTAGTTTTTAAGCAATATCTAGTAGTTTCCTTATTGTTGCTAACCAGATGGTCACATGTTTTTAATGTAATCCCATAAAATAGTAGTGAAAGTAATGATGTGCTTGAGTCACATTACATTACATGCCATTTGTTAGACGCTTTTATCCAAAGCGACTTACATACTCGATACTGTGGGCAATCCCCACAGGAGCTATTTGGGTTGAAGTGTCTCAGGGACACAACGACATGCTGACTGCAGTGGGACTCAAACTTGCTATCCCCTGATTGAAGTCCAGCACACTCTCCACTGAGCCACAGCCTCCTTCACATATTTTCAAGAGTGTCTTTTTTGATTATAAAGCAGATCCAGGTACTGGAAAAGTATTAAAACACTTAAAGAATAACTAAGAGTATTCAGAAACTGCCCCGGAAATGATGAGAAATAAGAGCAAATTGAGCTTATTCATGAAGTTGGCTTAAAAAGACAGTGTGTTTATAATCAGACCAACAACATTAAGAAAATAATATGTTTTTTTAACACAAGAGCATGTAAACGTGTTCAAGTAGAAACCCAAAATATTAGTATGAACCTGAGAATGAGCTTTAGATGGCCCCTTTAAAGTATTTGTGAGGTTATATTTCAACATGTTCACATAGTCTGACAGCAAAGATGAACAGGAAATGTGGGAAGAGAGTAAAGGGGATATCATGCAACAATAGACCCCACCAGAAGAAAGTATTAAAACAATGTGTTATGCGCTTTTGACCACCAGTACACAGTGTAGGCCACATTGAGATCTGTTCCATGTCCAATCCTGTCAATGACTAAATGGATCACAGCACAGCTCCACATGTTCTCATCTGTGTTAATTGGCAGAGAGAGGGATCATTGGAAGATGTGCTTTGGCAGCAGAGGATCCAGAGACCATGTTTATTTGATAAGCACTCATAGCTCACCCACTCAGCTGTGGGCTCTCCCACGTGCTGTTTTTGTTTTCATCCATGTGATGAGCATTGCAAAATTATCTCTCGAGCAGGTTTGAAAACAGACACTTCTCGAAACCCTTTTGCTCCCTCCATGATGATCCACTATGACTTAGCTGTGAAGCAGCCTCGCTCTGATAAGAAATGATTTAATATCTAACAAGCATTCCTCATTTAAAACAAATCTCCTTTCTCCTTCGCTCCACAGATAAGGATGAATGTTTAACCGGGTCTCACCAGTGCAGCCACCTTGCTCAGTGTGTCAACACAGATGGTTCCTACACCTGTCAGTGTTCGGAGGGATACTCCGGCAACGGACGCACCTGCTGGCCCAGGAGAGCCCCACAGCCCAAGGCTGCCATGTACTTCAACTACAAACTCTCCAAAAGAACCAAGCCCAAACTACCTTCATCATAGAGCTATACTTCTAAAATATATAACGCTCAAACGAAAGAGGAAATTCAACATCAGAGGGTAACTTCAGAGAGTTAAGGTTAAAACACGGGTTACCACTCAGAACAAAGTCATTGTAAGTTATGTTGGTCATTTTCAGCACAACTGGAAACCTTTTCTCGTCTGTTATTTCTCCTCCTGTTTAACTAGGCGATAACCTGGACTACCCCCAGCTCCATTAGTTGCCTGTTTGACGTCTGTTGAAGGAACCCTTCATTTAACAAATGTAGCACAACATGGACCACACTCTGTACTTTGCCTGTGTGCTCTTAAACCCAAATGGACTGATGACAGGAGGGTTTTCTTTGTGCTGGCGTCACCAGTGTCACAGAAACACCAGCTCTGTTATTGCCTGTGTGGCCTACTCTGTCAAACAAAGTGCTGAACATTTTTTTTGCACATTTTGCTCATGATTCATCTCTAATTTATTACATATTCCATTAAGTTTCTTTTCTTGAAATAAAATCAGATTTGTGAGACTTCATCACAATTTGTTAATAAAATACTGACCTCTTGTGGATAGATAAGGGAAGCTATATTTGGGCTGCATTCAGAGTATTCTGAAGAGAGTTAGTGAAACTAAATACTTTTAAAATGATATTTACTTTTATTCCTATGTCTACCATATGATGTGTCTTTAAGGGATTTTTATGAAGCATTTCTTCATGAATTCCAATTAAAAGTGTATCAGAAAACATGACTCATGTGTCATACGTTTAGAGGTATTTGAAACCCTGCTAAAATGCAGACTGATGTTTTCATACCTTGCTGTTTATCTTCTTCCCTCTTCCTCTGTTTTGGAATGTTTTCAGACCCACTAAGTCACACGCAGGGCAGACTACCACACAGCAAGAGAGCATAGACAGGTCAGACCAACCAAATACCAAGAATCTCTGTCTGTCAGCAGCTGTCTGGAAACCTCTTCCTGCATTCAGAGAGCGCAAGAATGGAAATTGAAGTTGGTTTTTGATGTTTTCCTCAGGTCAATTTCACGCTTCCATCTGAACGATTAGGATTGTGTCCCTGGGAGACGAGGAATTGCAATACTTGGAGATAATAACTGTAATGATAGCAGATGATGGTAGGGGGCACTGTGTGTGTGTTGGGGCTTCAGTTGTAGTCCTGGAGGCTTTGGAGCGCTGAGAGTCGGGCTTGCAGTGAGAACAAGCAGCTGCTGCCTGCTGAAGGGCCCTGCCACTGACCCTATTCATCCCAACAGCAGGTGTCACATCAAGTCCCCGCCTCACCCTCGCGCACACATTCACACATATGCTCCACACACACACACACACACACACACACACACACACACACACACACACACACACACACACACACACACACACACACACACACACACACACACACACACACACCCATGTGCAAAATCACAGAGCCTTGTGCACGTGTACACACACACACACACACACACACACAGATGAGTGAGTGTGTGTGTGAGTGAGGGGGGACCTGGAACTACTTACAGAGAACAAAGAAGGAAATCAGGAAAAAATGCAGCCTCTTCGAATAAATCTCACCACAATGCTGAGAAAAATCCCCAACCTCACCCCCAGAAACGCAAGAAAAACCTTGTTTCTCTCTTTCAAAGCAGTCAAAAGTGTCTTACAAAAGCAGAAATAGAAAACATTTTAGATAAAAGGATCCAGGCCCCTTTCTGAAAAGGACCTCACACCAAGTTGTGTGTAATTCCAACCAGAAACTGGTTTATTTACCAAAAAATAATAAGATTTAATGCCAAAGCACTTAGGCCACAAATAAAGGACAACAAGTGGTGGGTACGCTGAAAGGGGCGAGGGAGAAAAAGGGAGGATAACACCGGGGTGCACATTTTCCCTTTTCTTGTGCTTGTTATTTTCTGGTTCTCTGTTTACACGACACACAAGATTTCACATGGAGGAGTAGCTACAGGAACAGTGGCACTAGCCGTGCACATTGGCCTCCGCAAAATAAAAAGATACAATAAATGTCAGAGGAATTTGGACATCTGCAGTGACACAAGTTCTCACAATGGGGCAATGGCGATTTCCCCAGTCAAAGCGCTGCTGCCCCGGCTTTACTTATATAAAGCAAAATCAACATTTATCCTGAGAAAGTGAGCAATGATGATGACAAGTGCATACAGCCAATGACAATACAATAGCAGAGAGGCTAGGAACAACCGTGCCACCCAAGTTGCTGAAAGACCGTGCTTTCAAACACCACCACTGAACTGTAACACCACTAAAACCCCTGTCTTGCCCATACTGTCCTTTTCACTTTAGCTTGAAATAAGCCAGCCTTTTTTTCGCTTTGCGAAAGAGGAGGCTTTTCCACGGCTAATTCTGGTATTATGTTCCTATTGGACCCATTTCTCCTCTGACACACAGTCACTATAAAGAGGAACACAGTGCAGTGTTACCATGAATGAATACAAATTATAAATGCTGACCAATCCCACTCAGGGGGAATGAGCCAAAGCTTGAACCCTTGGCGTAAAATTATAAATCTTGTTAGGAAACCATTTTCTCTTGCTTGCCTTTGCCTACAAAATCTGCAGTAGAGTAGAGAGAGTGTGACAGCTCACTGCCTACAGCAATCCTCTACACACTATTGAAATTGACTGAAATGAGCTGAACTAAATAAAGCTGAGCTTATTGGTTCTGTTGCCAAACCATTCCCTGTACTCATGAATCTTTGCCAAAAAGAAAACGAACCAATTTCATTTGTTTCAGTGTAAAAATTAAAATAGAATCACATCACTGCAGCTTAACTTACCCACTTTACCCAGTTTTGACACGGGGATAATTACAGCTTCCTCTTATCTTAAAGGCAGCACTGTCCTCTCAGTCACTTTTAAATCACATTACATGGAGTAAATACATGTGAGTCACTCCCTTCTGTGTGACCCCCGGGAGGAAAAAACAGCATGTGCACCCGCGCTTCCTTGTAATTCTCATTCATACTAATACACTCCCGATGAATGTTCTGCTGGTGGGTAGTGTGTGTGAGGCTGAAGGAAAACCTGATGTGGAAATATCCGATAGACCTCAAACGTCTTAAGAAGTTAACTCCCAGACACCCTTGTTCCAGCACACACACACTTTCTTTCAAATGGACTGAGCCTTCGTGTATCAGTGACCTTAATTCATGTTTCAAATCCTCATGACGACTTTGAACTCTGTTTGAACAGTCAAAAAAAAAGTTTCCTTTCTTCTGTCTGCTCCTATTCTCTCCTCAAGGTACGTATAACAACTGGAACAGCCACATCATAACATGAAAGTGGAGCCTTGACCTGACAGGAATTCACTGTGCCTAAATCATTCTTAATATGAGAGCCAGGCAGCCTTGTTCGGGGGATTATCCTCGATAGAACAGGAAAGATTTTCAGCTAATCTATATAGGAATGCCCATTCTGGAGAAGGTGAAGGGAAGTGGCTGGGACCAAAGGTTTCTCTTGGAAGCCAACACACTTCATTATTCTTTTGTGCAGCAATTACGGCCCAACCACTGAGAAAAGCAATATATTTTTGTTCTCTTACAACATGTGTGTTCTCCAGGATACGGAGAGAAGACTTTGCATCCTGTTAGTGAGGAAATGAGTAGTGGTGATTAGTTGATTTGATCAAGCCTCAAGCAAGTTCGCCAATCATTTCTAGGTTTCTGCAAATCTAATTATTCTAACTATTTTGTTGCTTTTCTATGTTTTATATAGGTATAAACTGAATATATTTAAGTTGTAGACAACACAATTGATTTTAAGTTATTACCTTGGGCTCATGGATAATGAGTATTTTTCACAGTTTTTGTCATTTTAAAGACAAATCAGGGCAATTTTACACTTTTTGGTCCAGTTTTTATATCTTGTATGCTGAATTTGGAGTCGGTTGTCTCCTCGAGGTTATATAGGTTTGTGTGCATGTAAATGGTCGGTAAAGGCTAAAAGTTGCCTTCAGAGGGAGTTGCTCTGCTCCACTCTCCCCCCTGCCAGAAACGCCAACACTGGAAGCTTTTTGTTAAGTTCCATAACATAGTGACATCACTATGCAACACTCGCGCTTCTATTGGCTAGCGCTCCAACACATTCTACTTGATAGGCTAAGGGGCAGGACAACTCTAAGTGGTTGACCAATCACAACAGAGCTGGCCAGCTAACCAATCACAGCAGACTGGCACACAATACAAACATAAACCTGAAAAGTCGTCTTTAAAAAATGAGAGAATAGTGGAATTATTTTTGACAGGTGGCTGGAAAAAGGACACCAAGTAAATGCTAACAGTGCTCTGGTTTGCTTAATGTAAAAATTAGCAATTGTTTGAGAGAGCAGCTTTGGAGTTATGTGCACGACTGGATGGCTTGGATGTGTATATATTTAAGAGAGAGCATGTGTCTGAATGCATGTGTGTATATATGAAGGTGTGTAAGGAAAGTTCTGGTGAAAAAAAGGGACGGGCAGCATTTTAATTAGTGCTGAACTGGAAGCTGAAACAGTGGAATGGTTGTAGGAAAAGACAGCTGCAGAGGCTGTCTGCTGACCATTTAACACAGCTCTCACTCGCACCATACACCCTTCCAACTATCCATGTTTCTCTCCCTGTCTCCTTCACTCCTGTGCTGGTTCAGGTGTCTGGGGCAGCTATGAGGAAGCACTGGGTGGCACCCACCCAGACTTGCCGAGCTGGCAGCGTCCACTCTGCTGAGGAATGTATGAGAGGGTTGCTGGCAAGCTCGCTGTTGGCAGGTTGTCCCGCTGGGGAATCACTCAGTGAGAGCAGAGAGCGGCCAATTCCCTGTCAGTTGCCGGTGAGCTCACAAGGGCAGTAGTTGGGGAACATAGACTAAGACACAGAGACGGCCTGTATTCATTCTGCGTAATACCTTCCCATTCACTCTGCAGCCACCCCACCCTGCCTTCAGGGAGACAGTCTTGTTCAGAGTGTAACTTAGTAATTAAAACAGTGTTCCACTCAAATCTGTGGAAATTGTTTTATTACCGTAGTGCTAAAATTGCATGTTCATGTGCTTGAAATGATGTCCAGCTCAACTGTTCTGACAGTGCACAAAAGAAGCCTGGTACAAGACACACTATTTCGACACAAACATATTTTCATGTTGTGTTATCTATCTTGTTGTCATATCTTCATTTTGACCATGCATGACCATAGTGTTGCTCAAGAAACTTCCCCCATTTCCAACTCCAGTTCTAACCCCACACAAGCCAGGCCAAACCGAACCTCAATTTCCACTTAAGCTAAACTTGAGGATGAACCGTAAACCCCAAAACCTCACCTCAACCTGACCACACTGCGACCACCGCTGGCAGCCCGTCCCATCGCTGAGATGTTTGAACCATTGGTTGAGATATTGTTTTACTTTAGGCTCTGCTCTGTCTATTTTGGCACCATAGAAATCAACACAGGCCTCCATGTTAGGCCAATTAATAACTGGCAAACCATTTCAGTTTAAAAAGGTTTCTCGAAAAATGTAGTCTATTTTGACATAAAAGTTTAAATAATTTGACGTGGAATGTTTCTTGAAGTCGGAGTGCAAGTCTGATTTTCCATCCAGATGAACCAGTGTTTAGCTGTGAGTCAGGTGCTGCCAAGACTTTAAAAGGCTCCTTTCAACTTCTTGGGGACAGTAACTTTATGCA